CCAGGTGAGCAGGAAGCAGGGACTGCAGCAGCGGTATATTGAGAGGAGTGTCCAGCTGACAGAATGGCAGGCTACCCAGCGGCTGCAAGGACATTCTGCTTTCTTCCAGTGTGATAGTGCACCGAAGGTACTGACAGACTAGCCATCTAGATTCAGCTCTGGCGGCACTTAGCTGTAAGGCGTTAGGCAGGTGGTTGCCCTTTCTGCTTCAGCTACCTCACCTGCAAACTGAGAATGAGAAGACCTGCCCCACTACCGCAGAGAATGATTATAAGGATCAGATGCAACTTTATTGATATAAAGTACTGTCAAGTCATTATGTCTTAGGGACCTTGCAAGGACCTGTAGTGAGTAAGGAGAGAGCATTCAAGGATCAGGTTGATGGAGTAACCAGGTGTGGGGAATTCCCCACCATGTCTTGGAACCCTCATCCCATGAGCAGATGCCTCTCAAAAAGCAGGGTTGGGGAGTTGGGGGCGTTCTGCAGGGGTTCCACTGAGGCACATTGACTGAGTTGCTGTTCTCCGGGCCAGTACTTTGCCTACATGCTTCAAAGCTGCCCATCCACTTTGGTGACATCATCCATCTGGCATGTAATCTTAGTTGAATTCGAGGTATCTCTTCCTCACCAGATTCCTAGATTGTGAGAGAAGACGGATATATTGACGGGTTTGTCTGCCTGCCTGCCTGACCTTTTGGTTTTCTCTGCGGCTACTTCAGCCCCGATGCTCTCTTACCATGCTGGCCTTCCCCTCCTCCCCTGCCTCCTCCACTCCCATCATCTCAGAGCAGATGCTTTCTCGTTTTACTGGCTGTCAGAAACTCAGTTGCCTTAGCAGTAGGTTTTCCTGTCCTTTCCCTGTAAAAGTGTTTGCATCGTGCTTGGATTGCTTACAGCTCTGATGCTTCCTGAACAAGTAGAGTGAAAGCTAAGGATACAAATTCCGATTCTGCTTCTTTACCCTCTGGGGCAGAGGCCGTCCGCTTTCTCTAGGTGGTTTGGGGCAGGGAAATGCAGTTCTCTGGGTCTTCCAGTCTTGACTCTTCCCCTCCCATCCCCCAGGTTGTTACCAGAATGTTCTTTCTAAATGGAAATGTTACTTATTTGCTCAAAGCCTGATGACTCCCCTCTGTCCATCTAGGTTCCCTGGGCCACCAGGCACACTGATGGCTTTGTTTTGATCCAGCACCATGTTGGCCTCCTCAAGGTTTAAAACAATTAAAATTAGTAAGAACATTAAACATTGGAAGATGTCTTATGAAATCCACAATCTGAGTTTCTCTTGGAAGATTGTTAAATGGCAATGCTGGGCATCAGGAACTGGGTAGGGCTGCCCCTTCGCCACAGCAGGCTTCTCCAGATGGCACAGCTACCGCCACGGCCTCATCACTGCCTTGCATTATCTAGGGAGGTTCTGGTGTTTGCTCCCCCCCACTACAGGATGAAATTCAGTTTGAGTTAAACTTTTTACCAGGTAAATGGGATCCATACCAATTAGGCTCCAACTACATCTGCCCCCAACGCCTACCCATTCCTACAGGCTTTACTAGAATAGCTATGCTATGAAATGGTTAGTTGTTTGCCTGTTTGAGTTTGCTTACCCTTTCATTTTATTTTGTTATTTTTTAAAAGATTTTATTTATTTATTTGACAGACAGAGATCACAGGTAGGCAGAGAGAGAGGAAGGGAAGCAGGCTCCCTGCTAAGCAGAGAGCCTGCGGCTAGATCCCACCCTGGGATCATGACCTGAGCCGAAGGCAGAGGCTTTAACCCACTGAGCCACCCAGGCGCCCCTTGTTATTTTTTTTTTAACTGTAGAGACCCATCTTGCAGATCCCCCTGGAACATCCATTATAGGCAAAGGATGTGCCTGGCTTGGCTACACCACAATTAAGGACCGTTTCAAAGGAGTTACATTTCAGATTTTCAGGGTGTGTTGATCCAAAGCTTCTGTGAAGGACAAGAAGCAGAGGAGGGAAGAGAACAGATGGGGCCCTTTTTGTGCTTTCGGTCATTTCCAAAACAAATACGTCTCGTTTGGTTATGTGGTCATGTGTTTGCAGCCATTCTGCTCTGTGATGCTGAGGACACAGCAGCAAAATGGTTTACCTTGGTTAAGATATCTGTTTTCAAACATTTCCCATTCTTTCCCAGAATTACAGGAAAATTGATATGTCAGTTAGCCTCATTACTTGAACTTCTAGACAATGAAATAAATGCAGGCTATTGAGTACTTACTTCCTTTATTGTTGTTCACATTAAGTCCAGGAGCTTGTTGAGCAGAGTTCAGAAACCTGGGCATTTGCTTCTCTAGTTTCAAGAAATCGCTGTATAGGTCTGGCTTTATCTTACGGGGGCCATTTCTTGCTCCAAGTTCCACTCTGTGCTAGTTCCAAAACTTGATTTCCCCTGGAGGAGTCAGGCTTTAGGAATTTATGTCATCCTAGCCAAATTCATAAGATTTATTACTAAACTAGAATATTCCTCTTCTGTTCATTTACTGAACCACCTACTAAGTATGTGGCCATGTCCTAATGTCTGGAGAAATAAAAATAAATCACAAATATGATGTGGTCCCTGCAATTTAAAAAGACTATGCTTTTATCGTTGAAAATTTGGCAAAGAGAAAAGATGAACCAATGGTCCCTGCAATTTAAAAACTTATGGTACAGAAATGAGAACAGCTATGTAAATAAATACATTATATATCGTGTGTGAAGTGTAGGGTGACTTTACATCTTGGGGACATCCTGGTTTATGCCTGCTGTCTGGTATAACTATTAATAGTGCCCCCTTTCAAAACCATCTAAGGGCCACAGTAAAGGTTTCTATTAACATTTGGGGTATAGAGATGGTAGATGGGGGTAGAAATCAGCCTGTTTTTCCAGAGCAGACCCTTGAGCTGGGTCATGAAGGAAGTTTGGACAGTCAAGGTCTGGGAGCTCCAGGTGGGGGACAAGGGGGAGGGGAATGTGCAAAACTCTGCAGGCAAAAAGGAAATTGTTCCGGAAGCAGCAATCAGTCAGTCCAAGCTAGTTATTGTTTTCCAAATTTATCCCGTGGAAAAATTTCCCCAAGATACTTGGTAAAAATAGATTTCCAGGTTTTGCTGGTAATCTGGATTAGTATTTTTAAAGAAGCACCCCAGATGATTTTAGGCTATATCAAAAGTTCAGAACCAATTCTGTACTGTTTATGGCAAGGAATACAAAGGGCTGGGAGCAAAAAGGAGCAGGAACAGCAAGACTAGAGCATAAGTCACCTATTAGTCTGGTGGGGTGACCCCAGGTGGGAAAACCCTCAGAGGTAGAACCAGTTGGAAGACATTTACAGAAAACTTATGAAAAATGGACAGTGTGGGATCTATATGTTAGTTACAATGGGGATGCAGAGGATTGAAAAGATTTGAGAACTACTCAGGAAGAAGAATGAACAGGATCCAGGTTATGCCAGTTACTGATTTACATGGGGTAATATGATTTCCAGGTTACAGAACACTTGTGTGAAATCCAGGAACCTAGGGGACCTTACCACCTGAATGTTTAAATGGTGAGCCATAAACCTGAAAATACAAAAAATTGGATAGCAGTGTGATGTATTTCATGTGGATGCAAAAAGAAAAAAAAAAAAGACTCCTGCTTGCTTCCCATTGTTGTTGCCTCTAGAACAGTCATGACCGTTGTGTTTCTCTTTGGGAAGGAGCTGGGTGAATTCTAAAGCATCCTGACACCCCCAACCCTTTTATCTAGACTTCAGGCAAACCTCTGCCCTTCTGTTATGGTAAGACTACTTGCCATGCCTTATCTTGCCTTCTTTTTGCTTCTGTGTTTGTTATCGAATGTGTGATACAGTCATGACTCCTCGCCAGTGCCAAGCTCTTTCAGGGGAGATGGGCAGCCTCCTGCAGTTTCAACATGACTTTGTTCCTAAATTCTGGAGCTGCTCTCTCTGTGAGAAGCTGAAGTCACCTCACAGTTTCACCTCAACTCTGGGAAATTCCAATAGTACAAGAAACGCCCTACCCAGGCAAGGAGATGGTGAAGCCTGGTGTTTGTGGTTTGTGGAGCCGGCTTCCTTGGTGCACTGGAAATTCTGAGGCGAGCGATCCCTATATGGAAAATGAAGAAAATGCGAGGAGAGCTCTGCTATGTTCCTCTGCCTTCCAACATAAAGAGGGTTTTTACTTTGAAGGCTGCCTTCACAAGGCCTGTTGGCATACTTCTGAAGCAGCAGACGAAGTCAGAAATCAGAGGCTTAGAAGTTATGAAGAGAACGCCTCAAAAAAGGAGAATGGGAAACCGACCAGGCTATAATTTCACAGGGTAATTGAGCACCCTTTACCAGAAGACCTGGCCCCAGAGCGCCCACGACTGCGGTTTGGGGAGGGACAAAACATCTACAATTCCAGCGCTTGGCTACTCTTGTAGCGTTGCTGAGGAATTTCCAAATCCTGGGAGCGACAGTGTCGGAGGTGAACAGGCTGAAATCTTCCAAGCTGTTAATGTCAGGGAGAGAGAGAAACCTCAGGCAACAGCGGCCTCAAAGTTTGTGTGTGTGTGTGTGTGTGTGTGTGTGTGTGTGCGCGCGCGCGCGCGCGCGTGTGTTTTAAATACCGGGCTTCACTTCTGTGCGGTTCACTGTTACAACGCCATTAAGTCACAGTAGCAAGACGAAAAAATAAGAAGGGAAGGAGGAAAAGTCCAGCGTGCGCGGACCCAGAAAAAGGATCTTCCCTGGTTCTGCAGCTGACAGAGCTGTTGGGGGCGCCTGGGCCCTCTGCCCGCCAGAGTCGCAGCCCCGCAGCCCCCTTCCCGAAGTCCGGGCGCGACCAGAGTGGCGCCGCGGCGGGGGGATCGGGCGGGCCCGCCGAGGACTTCAAAGGCCCGGCGCCGCCGCCGCCCCCGCCCGCGCGCGCTAATAGTACGGTCCAAGGGGGCGGCTCCTGGGGCGCGGCTCCCGCGGCAGCTGATGCGCGCCCCGCCGGCCGGGAGGCGGGAGGCAGGAGGCAGAGACCCCGAGACCCTAGCCGCCCGGCGCCGCGGGCCGGGCCCTGAGGAGGCCCCAGGAGAGGCATCTTCCCCGCGGGAGTCGCCGGTGCGGGGGTGGCCGCGACCGCACCGTTCGAGAAGGAGGACGAGGAGGAAGCGGCGTTGCCTGCCGGCCGAGAGGAAGCGCTCCACCCGGGCCCCCGAAGGCGCTCGTTTAACCACATCCGCGCCTCCGCTGGAAACGTTTACAGGCGTCTGTCACCCGTTCCCTCCATTTTGAAAGGGAAAAAAGGCTCTCCCCTTCCCTACTCCTAGGAGCTGGAGCCAGAGGAGCCGCGCTCATGGCGTTCAGCCCTTGGCAGATCCTGTCCCCAGTGCAGTGGGCGAAATGGACCTGGTCCGCGGTGCGCGGCGGGGGCGCCGGAGAGGACGAGGCCGGAGGGCCAGAGGGCGACCCCGAGGAGGAGGACTCGCAAGCCGAGACCAAATCCTTGAGTTTCAGGCAAGTACACGCATCCCTGCCGAGATGCAGACGTGCTGCCATCCATCCATCTGCGGCTCATTTTGTGTGCGTGTGTGTGGTCGCTCAGCCGCGTAACCATTATCATCGCAACGCTGCGTCCCTACCCGTAGCAGGGGCCCCGCTGTGCATTCGAAAGTTCAGGATGTTCTGTCCGGTGTTACCTTTCCCCCGTTTCAGTATGAGCTCGATTCAGAACCTAACCCGGCCTCTGCAGTCTTTCCGCATCCCGGTCTGCTTCAGTCACTTTCTCTTAAGCTTTGAGCCCCGCGCCCCCGCCCCTACACACACAGTGTCACTGATCACACCCGTAGAACTTGGGGCCCTCCCTGTGGGGAAGAAGTCGCTCCCAGGCCCTCCTGGTGTCCCTGTGTGTCCCGAAAATGCAGTCTTGGTAAAGAAGGTCGCGTGATGACAGGCCCCTGGCAGCTGGTGAGAAATGGTGGTCTTTGCTGAGCTGTCACCTAGTGACTGAGGAAGGCAGGTGACCGTATTCTCAGCTTGGGGCCGAGTGAGTTCCAGACAGGTAGCGGCCTGCCTAAGAAAAAGGGATCGTGGCGAGAGCTGACTTAATTTTTAGGAGGAGGGGGCAATCTTAATTTTTTAAGCCTATGAGAAGGGGTTCTTGTTAGAAAAGGAGTCTGTTGAAAAGCGTTTTGGGGGGGATATCAGAAGAAAGGATGACCTCGGAAATAAATCGTGACGGAGAAAAGCTCCGGAGGATGGAGGAATATCAGGGAGACAGGATGCCAGGCAGAAGGCCCAGAAGGGCCCAGCAAGAAAACCCCATGGTGAGCTCCCACAGGCCAGTCCCTGCTGGGACTAGTGGGTTGTAAAGTTAGGCAAAAATGCTGGACTTTAACCTCTGTCCATATGTAGACTGTAAAGGGTGTCGGAAATACCGTTGAAAGTGGTAATTCCTCATTTTTCCCCCTTGGCAGCTCGGATTCTGAAGGTAATTTTGAGACCCCTGAAGCTGAAACACCAATCAGATCGCCTCTCAAGGAATCCTGTGATTCATCCCTAGGATTGGCAGGACCAGGGGCCAAAACCCAAGGTAAAGAAAGACTTTCATTTTCTGCCTCTTTTGTTTAAAGTTTTGAAGATGTAAATGAGGAAAGGAGGAGTGTTAACTTCGGGCCATTTAAAAAGCTTTGGATTGAGTACTTACTAGGAAAGTTGTTTTAAAGCTTCTGGCTTATTTGAAATGTTTTTGTTTGCTTTTTAGGAATGTGGTGGTCAGAGGCTTTCTTCCTAAGTAGTTTGTATATTTGCAAGATGAAATTATCATTATCAGATATTCCTGCTGCACCCTTCCCCCCAGCCTCCCCAAAACTAAAAATATGTGTGGTAATGCAGAGGTGGAGGGAAGTATGTTTAAATTGGCTTTGGCTATTTCTGAAGCTAAATCACTTTCTCCAGGGGTGTGTGTGTGGCTGGGGACAAAAATTATAGGTAAGAGTTGATTTATTTAGATAGAAAGGAATCTTTGGAATTGTTCACCTTTCCCCTCATCTACACAGGAATGGTGGTGAGCTTCTCAGTCTACCTAAGAAAACCTGGCACAGAGATTGTCTCCTAGCCCCCTCAGAGCTCAACCTTGAGCCTGCCCTTCGTCTACAAAAGCTTCTGTTGTTCCATTTAATTAGTAGAAACCTTTCTTGTCACTCAGCCAGTTTCGAGTAAAATTTCACCTGTCCTGATAGAATCTGGTTATCCACTTAATAGAGTACGCTGTGATTCAGCAGTGAAAAAGTCTTGCTGTCACTAAGCTAACATTATGGAGGGAGATGGATCTTTTAAAGGTTAAGCAAGATATTTATGTCAGCTTGTCTTAAGTATTATGGAGAAAAATAAAGCAGTGGAAGGAGAATAGGGTGTATGGGGTGGGGATAGAGATACTGAAGGGTAATTAGGTGGAGCCTTGCCAATAAGGGAACTTGAGCAGAGCCCTGAGGGGAGATTGAGGGAACAGCCTTGCAGATTCTTGGGGAGAGAACCCTTTCCGCAGAGTGAATGGTATCTGCAAAGGCCTGAAGCAGGACCATCCTGGGATGGGGCAAGGCCTGGTGGTGGAAGGGTTTTGAGGACCAGGAAAGAAGCTAGTGTGGCTTGAGTGGAGTGACTAGGGAGAGAACAGTAGGAGCTGAAGTTAGCCAGATAAAGGGAAGTCTGGAACATTTTGTAATGACTTAAAATGACAGAAATGTATTCTCTCACAGATTTGGAGGCTGGAAGTCCAAAATCAAGGTGTCAGCAGAGCCACAGAGCCATGTTCCTTCCAAAGGTTCTAGGGAAGAATCCTTTCTTGTCTCCTTTAGCTTCTGGTGGTTGCTAGTAATTCTTGGTGTTCCTTGGCTTGTGGCAGCATAATTTCAGTCTCTGTCTTCATTACATGACAGGCTTTTGCTGTGTGTTTCTGTGCCTTCACATGACATTCTTTTAAGGACACCAGTCAGTGGATATAGGGACCCTCCTAATCTTGTATGACCTCATCTTAACTTGATTACATCTGCAAAGGTACTATTTCCAAATAAGGTCACATTCACAGGTATGGGGAGTTAGGAACTCAACATATCTTTTTTTTTTTTTTTTTTTTTTTTCCTTTTAAAGAGAGAGCGAGTGCTTGAGGTGGGAAGGGACAGAGGGAGAGAATCTTAAGTAGGCTCCACGTCAGCCCAGAGCTCCACACAGGGCTTGATCTCACCACCCTGAGATTATGACCTGAGCTGAAATCAGGAGTTGGACAGTTAACCAACTGAGCCACCCAGGAGCCCCTCAACATATCTTTTTTTTTTTTTTTAAAGATTTATTTATTTACTCATTTGACAGACAGAGATCACAAGTAGGCAGGTGGGGTGGGAAGCAGGTTCCCTGCTGAGCAGAGAGCCCGATGCGGGGCTCGATCCCAGAACACTGGGACCATGACCTGAGCCGAAAGCAGAAGCCCCAACCCACTGAGCCACCCAGGCTCCCCTCAACAACATATCTTTTTGAGGGACACAGTTTAACCCACAGCAGAGGGCTTTGAGCAGAGACATCATGCTTTGACATCCCTTTTCAAAGAGTAAGTAGCTGCTGTCTGGAGAAGGGACTCTAGCACATATGTCCTTGTTGAGTGCTTTCTCTTTTCCATTATCTGTCACTGTCACCCTACGATGGTGGATAGAGCCAGCTTTCAGTTATTCTCTTAACTAGTTTTTGACCTAATGATGACTTTTTTTCTAGCAGTTACCATATTTTATGGCTTCGTGACTTCCTCACAGGTTGCTTAGGGAAGTCAGGTGCTTTGTGATAGACTTTGCTGTGGAGCTGGAATTATTGGTGAAATGATCCCCGCTTTTTGTGAGTTTTCTACTGCTCTTCCCCTGCTGAAAATTTAGCCATATCCTCAACTCATCCTGGTTGCTTTTCACTATTGTTTTTGGAAGAGACTGCATGGGAACAGGCAAGTTTATGTACTAGAGCCCTTGAGTGTGGCACTGAGCCTCACAACACAGAAGATGCACTTCTTCATAGTTTCCCTTTTCCTCTCTTAAGATCGGCAGATCAGAAAGGAGATTTGAAAGCTGGAAAGAACGATTCTGAAGCTTTCCCATCAAATTTAAATAATGCTCACCAGACATGTTAACTAGCTATTTGAAAGTCTCTTTAAATTGCCCTCAGCTTGGGCGGCCCCTTCCTCACCATTCTGTCAGCTGGTAGTCTGATTCATCTTGACAAATTCTTCGCTAATTGCGTAGAGGCCTGTATGGCTCAGGCCCCCAAGAGCCATAGAGACCCAATTGTTTGGTCCTTCCTGTGCCACTGACTCTTTTTTTCTTTTTTTTTTTTAAATATGTTTTGGTAACTTCTAGCTCATACTCTATTTCTTACTCTGTCTAAAAGGTTTTCTTTTAGAGAGTCTTGGACCAGGGAAGCCCTGTGGAGTAGTAGATCGTGATTGAAGGCCATGTCTTTGGCAGGGGCTGAGGGAAGGGTGTACAATTTGGGAAATTACCACTCCGTATTAAGAAGACTTTCAATTTAGAATCTTTAAGTAATAGGATGATTGCATATTAGCCTGGTAATATCCTGCCTTTGAGAACTTCTGCCCAACTTGTAGAAGGAGACTTAGTCCAGGGTCTTGTTGATGGCCTTGGTATACATGCACAGTAAATACAAAAATACTACCAAAGCACAGGTCTAACCAGGAACGGTATCAATGGACAAAAATTCCTAGAGACTTATTTCATGTTGAAGTCTTAATTTCTAGGCTTGGATGGTCCTCTTTCTCCTGAAATTGTTAATCGTTTGGCTCCTGATAAAGTTAGTCTTTCATATTTCTGTGGTTTCAGGACGTGGTCTTTCATATTTCTGTGGTGTCAGGACGTGGTAGGGCAGCAGGTAGTTTATATAAGACTGTATCTTCTGGAGGGATGATTTATGAGTTGTTAGTCAGGGATTGAAGTTAACATATATAAAAGATCCTGGTTTTCTATATATAATGGTCCTCCAATGTATGGGCTGTATCCTATATCCCATACCCGTGGCCCACCAAACTCCATCTGATTCTTGGAACACAGGGAAACATTTGAAGTTGATTTTCTACGTCTATTTGAAGTTAATTTTCTTTTTCTTTTTTTCTTTTTTAAGATTTTATTTATTTATTTGACAGAGATCACAAGTAGGCAGAGAGGCAGGCAGAGAGAGAGGGGGAAGCAGGCTCCCTGCTGAGCAGAGAGTCCTATTCGGGGCTTGATCCCAGGACCCTGGGATCATGATCTGAGCCAAAGGCAGAGGCTTTAACCCACTGAGCCACTCAGGCGCCCCTAATTTTCTTTTTATTGGAAGTTTTTTTGGGGGAACTTACAGTATCTGAACTCTGTATAATGCTTCTGGAGACAGTTATATGCCATTCTAGATATTAAAAGGTAGATGACCTTGCGGAGATTTTTTTAAGCCACAGATAGAAGCTGGTTTCAGACTAACTGCTAAAATAAAACTTGAACCAAATAAGTGCCTTGAAAATACTAGAGTAGTGGCTGTAATATTTGGGCTGGTAATTCTGTGTTTTCTATCTGTCTTCCTCCCCAACAAAGACTGTTTAAGCTGCTGCTATTACTGTTCCTTCTCTTTGTCTGGGGTTGTGTCAGTGAGGAGACATCACCCGTGAGAGGACTTCTGAAGAAGGTTCAATCTCAGGTTCATACCCCCTCCCGCCCCCCCTCTTTTTTTGGTGGACTGTGGTTTTGTCCATCGTTTTAGATTTTAAAAGTGAATGTCCTCTGCTACTAGAAGTCTCCTTACCACACACAGACCTTCATTTATAGGTTGTTACCTTTTTTTGAGAAAGAAAATCTTAATTCATGCTAAAGCTCTCTTATGCCCTTGGAACAACTAGTTAAATCTACCCTGTTTGATGTGTTAATTAGATGCCTCAGCATTTCAAAGACGTAGAATAGTTCTCCTGAAATAGAAGGAAAGATAAACAGGATCAATCTGCTGATATTTACTGCTGAAGGCCTGGGGGGAATGTGAAGTAGTTTGTTGACACACTTTGGTAGTCTAGGTCAGGAATCAGGCTGTGGCTCATAGACCAAATGTGGCCTGCTTCCTGCTGTGGCCAATTATTGTTATGCCTGGGAGCTGAGAATTATTTTTACATTTATAAGTGGTTGAAAAAAATTGTGCTGTGTGAAAATTATATGAAATTCAAATTTTAGGGCCCATAAATAAAGTGTTAGGGGAATGCAGCCACACTTGCTCATTTAGGTGTTGTCTCATATGGCTGTTTTTACACTAAATTAGCAAGGTGTTTCTGTTTGTCTTTAGGTAGGCTCCACAACCGCTGTGGGGCTCGAACTCACAATCCTGAGATTCAGTCATATGCTCTATCTATTGAGCCAGCCAGGAGCCCCTGAAATAGCAAGGCTGAGTACTTGGAACAGAGAATGGCCTGCAAAAGCCTAAAATATTAACTGTTTGGCTCTTGACAAAAATGTTTGCTGACCTAGATCCACACTTAAGACAATTTTGATAAAAATCTAAAGCCTAAGTAATTTGGGATAACTTTAT